GGTCGTTCTGGATGGAGTACGGGCCGTTCTGGAGGGAGTACGGGGCGTTCTGGAGGGAGTACGAGTCGTTCTGAATGGAGAACGGGCCGTTCTGGATGAATCCCAGAACGGGCCATTCTAGTTTCAGAACGGGCCGTTCTGCATGTGATTTTTGTACGTGGAGAAGAGGTGCAAAAAGGGCCGTTCTGGATTTGGAACAGGCCGTTCTAGTCACTCCTGAATGTTTATAAATAGAGTTGGGTGGTTGAAGAGAAATGGAGGTTTTTAGAGAGAATTTTTAGAGAGAATTTTTAGAGAGAAGTTTTAGAGAGAAGGACTCTGGACTAGGAAGCTTGCTTTGGGTGGATTAAAGTTTCGGGTTGAGCTTCAGAAAGGGAATTTTGCTTCTTGGCTATTCTGAGCCAATCTTCAGGTAAGGGAAGCTAGATTGTAAAGTTGTTGGTCGTATGTGAGTTGGGAACTCATTTGGGTACTTAGGTTGATTAGTATGAGTTGTGTTATGAGATGCATGTTGTAGTTAAGTTGTGAAGTTGTTTACATGTTTATTGTTGAATTATTAATAAGTTGAGATGTATAAGTTGAAGTGGTTTATAAGTTGTATTAGAATGTATGTGGAAAAGTTGCTATGTTGTTTAAAGTTGTTAAAGTTGAGATTGATGACTATAGTTGTTTATTGCTGTAAAATTGTTAAGATGCCTATTGTTGTAAAGTTTTTAAGTTGCTTATTGTTGTAAAGTTGTTAAGTTGTTTACTACTGTAAAGTTGTTAAGTTGTTTATTGCTGTAAAGTTGTTAAGTTGCTTATCGTTGTAAAGTTGTTAAGTTGCTTATTGTTGTAAAGTTGTTAAGATGCCTATTGCTGTAAAGTTGTTAAGATGCCTATTGCTATAAAGTTGTTAAGATGCCTATTGCTGTAAAGTTGTTAAGATGCCTATTGCTATAAAGTTGTTAAGATGCCTATTGCTGTAAAGTTGTTAAGATGCCTATTGCTATAAAGTTGTTAAGATGCCTATTGCTGTAAAGTTGTTAAGATGCCTATTGCTATAAAGTTGTTAAGATGCCTATTGCTGTAAAGTTGTTAAGATGCCTATTGCTATAAAGTTGTTAAGATGCCTATTGCTGTAAAGTTGTGATGATGAGTTGTTGATCACTAGGACTAGGGGAGATGTTTTCGAAGTTGCTCATCCCATTGTGTGGATTGAGATAGTTGTGGTGCTCTAAGAGCCCAATTTGTTGAAAAACCCTCCTTGGGAGATTGTCCCTTGGAGTGGTCGTTGTGTTGTTCTCCTCTAGGACTTAGTTGATCCCGTGTGTGGGCAAGGTCGAGGCACACGTGTATAAAGCGACCACGGTATAGGGGCAAGGTCGAGCTATACCGATTATAAAGCGACCACGGTATAGGGGCAAGGTCGAGCTATACTGATTATAAAGCGACCACGGTATAAGGGTCAGGTCGACCTATATCGATTACAAGTGGCCAATTTGAGTAAAGTACGAAGTCGGGAACTTAGTTCCTAACTGAGTACTATACTTCCTTGTTAAAGTGACAAAGTCTGAGAAACCATTATCGTGTTGTGGATTGATATCCAAATTTACTGTATTGTCAGTTCGGTAGGACCTAGCCACTTAGACTACTTATCATGTTGTAGGAGATCTCCGAGTCGAAATGCGTGACGACGCATAAGTTGTTAATGAGTTGATTTGTTGTTGATATGAGTAGTACATACGTTATTGTGTTGTTAAGCTATAATTGTGTTGTATGTTGACCTTGTTGAGGATGATGATAGTGCTGTTATGTTATAAGTTGCTTATTTGTTTACAAGTTGTGTGTTGATCTATGATATTGTTGAAACTAGTTGAAATTAAGTTGAAAATGTTGCTATATGTTATGTGTGGACATGTTTATGTTGTGAAATATGATGAGATGTTGTTATTAGTAGACTGTGTTGTTAAGTTGTTAGAGAAGAGTTGAGCTAATAAGCCGTTGAGTTGATTGTGTTGTTTAAAGTTGAAATGATGTTTAGATATATAGTTGTTATGTTGCATATTAAATTATTATGAGTTGTTTATTGTCTCTAGCTTACCCTTGCATGTTTCCATGTGGTTTGGATTGCGATGATCATATGTTGTATGGGAGCAGGGTAGGGATAGACTGGAGATAACTGCTAGAGGCCACAGGAGGTGCCTGGAGATGGAAATTTTTTTGTAGGCTACCGTATAGTAGCATACTTTGTTGTATAAAATTTATTTGTTGTTGGTTGCTTGATTAGCAACTGTATTGTAAATATTTATTATACTATTTTAGTATATTTTCGAGCAGTATGTAGTGTTTTTTTTTCCTAGTGTGACGGCCACGGCGGGTCGTTACACTACGACAATGCATAGCTATAGTTTAAAGAAATTTTCATTCACAGATATAATTTTTCACTTTCCAGGTTTTATTGTTTCATTGTTATCTTCTTTTAATTTTAAAAATTATTTTTCTTATTATTTTATTTTAGCCAATCAGTAAAATATGTCAAATAGAAAGTATGTATCTAGTTTTGAAAAGATTTTGAGTTTTGAGGATCATTCTGATATTGATGATCTTGATTTTTTTTCAGAATTAAAGTTATTGAAAGAAATTCTAACAAATGAAATTAACACACCATTACAAATATTGAACTATATAAAAAGATCATGTTCTTTTCAAATACATATATTGCTTATAGAATATTATTAACATTACTTGTAACTGTTGCGACTGTTGAAAGAAGTCTTTCAAAATTAAAATTGATTAAATCATATTTAAGATCAATTATGCTACAAGATAGATTGAATGTGTTGACTATATTATCTATTGAGAGTGAGATGTTAGAATTACTTGATTATAAAATTTTAATAAATAATTTTACAGCTCAAAAAGCCAAAAAAATAACATAAAAATTATTAGGTTATATTAACATAGGTCCTTATCTTAATTTTTGCCTAAGGTCCCGGAATTCCTAGATACGGCCCTGCTTTTTTGACATGGATCATATGCATACTTGTTTTGAATGAGTATGATATAGAATACACTATTAGATAGTGATTTAAAAACCGGACCGAACCGGCTGGTCAGACCGGTTGGACCGGGAACCGGTGGTCCAGCCGGTCCGAATCTTAAGTTGGATCGGTTATGCAGTCGACCCGTTTCAAACTGGATTGAACCGGTCAATTTTCCAGTTCAACCGGTGAACCGGTGGGTCAAACCGGTTTAACCATTTTTTTTTCTTTTTTTAAAATTTTTTTAAGGGACCATAAACCACAAAAAATAATAATGAAAATTGAATCTCTTAATAGAAAAGCAAGGAGTCTTATTAAATATAACAATGACTACTTATTCTAATATATTTATTTGCAATATATACAACTTAAATAACTTTTATAGTATATTATTAATTTTAAATTATATATAGTAATATAATATTTATGTAAATATTACATATATTATTTTGTAATATTAATTGCAAGCATATTATATATGTACATATTGTTTATATTTTAAATTTTTATTAATATACCGTTTAACATGTAATTTTTTATGTATTTTTTTACAAAATAAAAATAAAAATAATTTTAAATAAGATAGAAAAATCAAAATTTAAAATAAGATATGAATTTATTAAAATTTATAAGTATAAAATATATTTAATATGAATATTTTTTTAATAAAAATAAATAAAAACCGAGTCATGCGATTCAACTAATGACTCACTGGTTCAACCTTTGACCCACTAACCCAGTACCTTAACCGGTTCGATGACCGGTCTGGTTTTTAAAACTATGTTAGAAGAAGAAAAAACACTTTTGTAAGAACTTGGGGATTAGTCTTTAAGGATAGTTGGATTTTGGGAAACCCGGCCTGATTTTGTCCATTGTGTGCATGGGGTGAAACTTGCATGACATAATTGTCCTTATTAGACCCTGATTGTATATCCTCCTATAGTGTTGAGTGCATTGAAGGTATGACTCAATATGGACTCCTTGACTACTTTGTGTGTTGTCTTAAAAATGAAAATGCGTGACGTGATTTTGACTGGCACCACATGTATGATTATTTATAGTTTGTGTTCATTGCTTAGTGTATGTGAATGAATTCATGTATTAGTTGGTGATGATTATGGGAACTTATGTTGTGTTATCAATTAGATTTCATTTAGTTGTATTCAGGATTAATGTAACATTGTTTTGTCGTTACCAAGTTTATATTTATTAAATTATTAATTATATTTAGTTATTGACTACATTTTACCCGTGAACCAAATGAGATGTTTCTCATTCTCCTTATTTTGTATTTTTTTATTGTATGTTATTGCAGATGATTTACATCATGAGATTGAAGATATTAGCAATGAGACATGGTCTTGGAGATTAAGTTTATGTTCTAATAGGATATGATGTTTTTAGTCCCTATAACTTTAAAATAATCTTATTTTAGTCCTTATATTCAAATTTTGTTAAGAAAATTATCAAACATTATTGCATAAAATTTATTTAATGATGTTTCTATTAGTGAAAATATCACGTTAAATTCAATTGAAATTGTATAACCGTGTTAATTTGTCACTTTCATATATGTTATTAGTGATCTGAGAGACTAAAACAAGATTTTTGAAAATTACAAAGACTAAAAACAATCATTTTAAATTAGAGAGATACCAAAAATAAATTTATCTTAAATTTAAGAGACTAAAAACGTATTTAAACTCTTTTTTATTATATTTATGCTCTTATGTTTAAGAAACCATTATCTAATATCCATATAATTTCTAGATCCCACAATTAAAATAAAGGCTATGTGGTGATGAGTGATAGCAAATCATGTGTGTGGCACAATTAATGGTTGTGATTTTGTGTATGGCATATTAGAGTGAGTGGTTTGATGGCTTACGACGAGAATAATGAAATTTTAAGCAGTAAGATTTGAATAACAAATGATAGTGATAAAAAAAATTAACAAGCACAAAATTTTATTAGCAAATGACAGCACACACGACTACAAACAACATTATTTATCACAACTTACATATTGAGCATTTCATGTAGGATGAATCGATTGACTTTCACACCCACAATGCCCTTTTATTTATGCTTGCTAGTGCATATTGCACTATGATAGTATGTCTTAAAGTTAAAACAATATGTGCTCCTCTTATATGTGAGACAACTTCTTCTACTTGCATTCTTCGAGGCAAATGGGATTCAAAAGTAGAGAAGAAACGTCATCTTTTAATAATTCTCCATTTGTGAATTTATCTTGACGATTTTCATATGAAAACTCTGACATACGTGCAAAATTAGCTACACAGTCAAGCACAGATTTGGGGATATTGTAGGAATTCAAGTACTCTTCATTTATAACCTTCCAATAATCTTCAATGTCCTTGCGAATAAGCTTATAGGCCTCTATTTCTGAAATACCATATTGGTTCATGCAACATTCCACAGATGAGGCGACATGTACTCTTTGTTGCTCAAACTATATATCAATCAAAGAAAATAAAAAATTCCAATTAAGAATATAATAATTTTAATAATAATATTAATTAAGCCATATATATAGGGAAGAGAAAGAGAGAGATACATAGAAAGATTATGATATCTAGATGAATAAATAATAATGCATGTGAATCATAAGTAAATTGGTATACCTTATGTGAGGCCATGTCATCCATGACTCTGCCAATAATTGATGAAGCTTGAAGGATTTTTGGATCACTAAAAATCCAATCCAACACATCCTTTGTTGCAAATTCTCCAAGACATATCATTGATGTGAACAATAGAGGACAACAAGATGTTAAGATTCCATTAGCTTTATATTCATCATATGTTGGAATGTAACCCTTGTGGCACCATTTTGCTTCAACCATGTAGGCTTTTGCTAGGTTACAAATCTGCAAGTAAAATAACCAATTTATTAATAAGATAAATTGAATTTTGTAAACAAGTATTGAAGTAAAAATTGTAGAAATTGAGAATCATACTGCTTGTTTAAAATGTTGCACTGCAAGGCTTGATTTTCCAGTATGAGCAGTTAACAACTCCATTTCTTTAGAGAGTTCTACTATTGTATCAAATATTACTTTCATGCTTAGTGGAAGAGATCCAATGAGACCAATATCCCATCTGAAAATTACAAAAATTAAACAATTATTAACAAAAAGAACAAACCTTTAAGAGTGAAATCTTAAGCTAATAATCAATCATGATTATTTTATAGTCCCTAAACCCTAAACCCTTTGAACAATTTATATATATGCTATAATTTGAAAAGCACATCAACCTCTTAAATGCTTCAGTCAAGAGTTCAAGTTCTTCAACAGTGCCATAAGCATCATAAGCATCATCTAAAAGAGTGATAACAGTGCTCAATTTTCCCGCAAACATTCTTCCGTTGCTATCTTCGGGCTTGTAGGACATGGCTAAGATCCAAAGATAGCACTCAACCAATCTATCTCTAGCGTGAGGAACCTTTTTCATAACATTTGATTGTTTCCACCACCTATGAAAAAAGAAATACAACTTAACAATTTAATACTTTACTAATCTTTATTATATTTTATTTTTGCACGATAGTATATTTAAATATGAAATGTTGTCTTTAAAGAACAAAATTTAAAGGTAAGGGACTTACTTGGTGATAATGCCAATTTCTTTTTGATGCATTTTTTGAAGAATATTGAAATCTACTTTCGCAAAGGTTAGTAAGATTTCATTATGGGAAGAATCTTGTTCATAGACAGTCATGTGATACCTTGCCTCAAACCTAAGTACACTCTTGTTAAGTGGTTGCCTTAAGTAGTGATTGATTTGTGCAGCAAGAGATGGACTCAATTGGTTTGCCAAGGACATAAGTTGAGTATTTGAGAAGTCATATGCTTCTTCCAATACATCATCCCCATCGATTCTTAGATGTGCAGCTTCATACAAACTACACAACCCTTGAATATTGTTGGCAAGTGTTTCATTGAAATTTCCTTGCTCATTTTTGAATTTGTTAAACACATCTGGTTAATCAATTAAACATACATAAGAAATAATAAGTATTTAATATATTTTGAATTTTGAAAAATAACTTTATCAGTGTGTAGTATTTTTTTCTTGTATAAATATCATCGCAAAAACTCTTTACTTACTTGATGAAATTTGATATCCTTGTTGCCTAAGTAATTGAAAGAGTAGAGCAAGAAAGTGATGATTTCCATCTTCACTTATGATAGTGTTATCTTTGGTCAAGGTATTGTGAATTTGTTCCAATGCTTGATTAATTTCCTTTTGGAAATGGTAGGATATACCAAAACGTTGGATGGAGTCAATGAAATTTAATTTTTGCATGATATTTGGATTTGATGATTGAAACATCATTTTCACCTCCTCTTTTAGGATTTGAGCTTGCTGGTTCATAATGTCATCGACTTCTTGGTGCTGCAAATATATAAACATTTTAAAATGTAATGATTTATAACATAAAAATTGATATCTAATTAAGTTAAAAATAATATACTTCTTTACATTAAAAAGATAACATAATGTTAACAAATCTCAAAAAGATAAATTAACATAATAATGTACCATTGATTCATAAGCATATTGAAGGAAAGTATTTCCCCATATGCTAGGAGCAAAATTGGCGCAAGGTCACTTGACATCAGATACTGCATTTTGGGTTGAAACAAGTGCTGAAGCTGCAATGGACATCTTTGCTTTATACAAACCGCTTTTTAATTTCTATGGAAAAGAGTGCGTAGCTTATTGATGAACCACCCAAACATCTAGCTACATATTTATACTCTTAAACCAGCTTGCATGTGTTGGTTGCTTTTTGACCCTAATTTATGATGTCTATTAATTTATTACGTGAATGGTGCAAAACGACATTGATCTGTTAATTTAAAAATAATGCTCAGTTTTCCACTATGATGGCTGAAATGAGAAAGAAAATTCATGGAAGTGCCTGCACGAGGTGGGTTTGGTCATAAAAATAATCATTTCTGCCCAATATTATTTAGATATTTCATTTGCTGCATGTGGGAAATACGTGGTCTTTTTTCCCTCAAAAATAGTATTATTTAAAAACAAATATAACTTAAATAATAAAAGAAAAAAATTCATTTCTACGTAGAGTTTAATTTGAAGTGTTTTAGTTGGCGTGAAATCGTATTAAGTGTTATTGTTTTTTTTTAAATTAAATTAAAACAGTCTAATCCTGATTAGACTACCTATAACAGCTTACAAATGTTGTAATTTTTAAGGGTACTTCAAAAAGTTCAATGTCTCTTGTTACTGTTTAGAAAAGAGAAAGTTAAAGACAACTATAAAACACCGCTCCGAGGTTACGTCCACACTCATGTAAAGAAGAGGTGTCATCCGATTTCGTTTTTCTCGTTGAAAATGTCATCTGATTGTCAAAAGTAAAAAAAACGCCTAACTTTTTTTTTTTTCTAATATGAAAAGAGCCAAGTTAAGGTAAACCATTCCTTAATTTGGTTTAGGATGAACTAATGTATGTGCACTGTGAAATCATTGGGACAAAGCATCGATTCACGTTAGTCTCAACCAATTTTCACACACTTATTAATTTCTAATTGTTAATTTCAAAATATTATATAAACTATATCTATGAATTAAAAAAAAATGGTGAGCGACTTGATGGACGATGGGAAAGAGGAAAGAAATGAGGTAAGGGTGAAGAGAAATTTCAATGTTGCTTTTTAAATACAGTTATTGTTACAATTTGGCCAAAAGAACAAGTTCCGTTGCTGTTAGAAATGTGAAGTTTAAGATTTGCCATACATCAACAACAACCCATGCAGTAATGGAACTACGTGTAATTTTAAGGGGGCTGTTGCCACCCTCAATTTCTACACCACTAATCAATATCTCGCACAACACTTTATCTCCATTTGCGGTCGTTACAACTTAATTACAACTATAAAACATCTTCAATTATTTACTTCAAAACAAATATCATAACAAAAAGAACTTTATATATTTTTTTTTTTGGTTTAAAAAATCTTTATTTATTGAGTAATACTCTATAAATAAAAACACTTATTGAAGTATTACTCTATAAATAAAAAGGTAATCAAATAAGTGTATAAATTCAAAATAAGACACAAATCATCTATTTACACAACCTCTAGCATAAGATATAAATCATGATATGAAAAATTAACTTCAACTATGACTAAAAAATTATAAACTCTCAACTCCAATATCACACTATTAAGGCAATCCCAACATAAGTGAATCTCTAAACTTTGCCTTCATATATCAAACTCCTCATCTTGTACAAGGTCTAAGTTTACAAATGACAATCAATCCAAATACACACAAAACAATACGCAAAAAGTGAGAATATATCTCATCCATGTATAATATATATAAAGTTTAAGGATAGCTCAACACACATATATCATAAAACATTTATTCTCATCTCCATATTCAATCACATTCATCTTAGTGACATCACTCAAAACACATTCATTAATCATTAACAAGTTAGGCTTAAACGATGCAATTTTGTAATTTTTAAAAATTGTAGACGATAAAATCAACTCTTGAGTTCAACATACAAATTGTAGATAAATGTCTTACGTTTCCAATAAATTTTAGAACAACTTTATATCATAAGTATAACTCCATATGTCATATTTATACCCCAACAATGTCATAGAAGTTTAATATAAGAAAAGATATAAAGTTTGTGAATGATAAGTTGTTGAGTTGTTTTATTCTTTAAGTGCTTAATATTAAAAATGGTTTGATATACTTATATTAATAATTAAGAAAGAAAAAGTATGAGAGGGATATTTGTGAATGAGTTATGAGTGGGTTATAATGAAGGCATGAAATTATGTTTATAAAACTTTGTGCTTGAGTCTTTGTGCTTTTATGATATATGAGATGCTTCTACATGTGATATGAAATATTTATGTGTGATGTTATAACTTTATACGTGATATGAAATGATTATGTGTAATGTCATATGAAATATTGATGTTTGACTTGAGAATGTTGTGTACAATGTTTGAGACATTGGTGATGAGATATGAGATGATGATAATGTATGATACGAGAATAAAACAATCACAATATGGTACGTGAATGACTTGAGTTTGTAATAAAGTTGTGTGATGTGTACTTGTGATAAAGATATGATGAGAATTGTGTATATAGTCTAATATGTGAGATGATATGCATCATGTGCATGAAATATTTTATAACCATACACGAGATTTCACCTTTAAACCACGAGTATCCATTTTTGGGATGTGGGCCTTTGGCTAGTAAGCTTTTGGGAAGTGGGCCTTTGAGTAGTAAGCTTTTGTGGGAAGTTGGCCTTTAAGCAGTAACCCTTTGGGCAATGAGGCTTTAGGTAGTGGGCTTTCATGCTGTGAGCCTCCGATAATGTTATAATGTTTTAATAGCGCTATATATATGTATATAGCCTAGTGAAGTTCATGAACATTGCATATGTGTGAATCATGAACATTGTAATCAAGTTGGGTTTGCTGAATTGTTTCTTATATTATAATTGTTATGATCATTATTTTAAATTGATGTGATTGTGTATATGCACTTATGTTGTTATTCTATTATAATAAGTACTTGGAGGAAAATAAGTGTTTTAGTCAATTTTATAATTATGTGTATCGAAAAAGATATGATTTAGGATGTAGGTTATTTAAAATTTATTTTATTTTATTTGAAAAAAAAAATAAGGGTATGGGTAGTTTTATAAATTAGGATTTTGAGCACAGCTGGCTTATGTTTCTTATTTTTCACATTTACGCTCTTCTCTTCGTGCTTGAAGAAACTAAAGAACTACCTGGAGATCTGGAAGGTGACCACCTCAAAGTTTGTCTAATTTTGTTTATCAAGGTAAGGGAAGTGAGTGAACTGGCTTTGGGGTATGGGTTATATGTTGGGTAGTGAGATTGACCGCAATCCTTTTTTTGTTCTTGTATGTGGTGAGAGAAATCCCAAATCTAATTTATAAATTGTCAATTTATGTTTGTACTCTTCATATATGCGTTATTTGTGATGATTGAGATATATGTGTAATCAATTTCGTATGAATTGAAGCATGTGTGAATCTTTAAATGTTTGTAATTCCTATATGAAATTCTTGATTTATAGAGCAAAGTTATGATTAATATTAATTACATGAATAGGTAAAATTAATGTTGAACTTGAGTAATTGATGATATAATAGAGTAGTTTTAAGCATTATTTATGTCCTTATCAATTGAATTAGGAAAAGTGTGTTTGGATATGAATTGTGCATTATTTTGAAAATTTTAGTATGAACATACCTTGAAAATTATGTGGTTTCTCTATGTGTGATTAACCAAATTGGATTATGATGATTAGGTTAAAATGTAGACATTTGGTGATATAGTTTAAACTCAAGAACACATAAAAATGTTAAGAAATGACTAAGTTATGTGAGTTAGAAGATGAGTCCCATGTTTTGTGAGTGAAATGTAATATGCGTATGTTGTAAGACTTCTAAGGAGACTTATATGGCTAAATTATGTTTTGTAATATTCAAAATAGTTTTATCTTTGGATGTTAGCTTTCAAATGTCATTGGAATTGTGACACCCTCTACCCCAACATTAATACACAATAAATATAAACAACAATTTTTTTTTTCTTTTTGAGTAAATAAAATCTTTCATAGTTGATAACATCTTTCATGGATAAAACAAATGTCAAAATATCATAAGATAGAAGGTTCACATTCGTAACTCATAAACCATAAAAAGTCAACATGTAAGTATCAAAACTTAAGAAATCATAAAAAAAATAATAAAGGAAATATAGATTAATTCCAGTAAAGGTGGCAGTGCCTCCTAGTTAGGAATTAATTTATAACTTTCAAATCATGTAATAAAAATATAACAAAAATACACATTTTGGCCTTTCATCAAGAACATTCAAAATTACAATTCTTAACATACACTTTTCTTGGATTCAATCACTGCAACTATAGACTTTATCTACGTTATACCTTCACTAGAAATTACAAAAGAAAAGAAACTAAGGTTTTCAAAACAATAACATCCTAAACTAAGCCTAGTTATGCCCCGATGTCACATATCCTATCAGAGCATGCCCAACTGAAACCTTAAGCCTCATCACCAACATCCTCATGATGATGATCACCTGCAACATAATTTAAACATGTACAAGAATAATAGGGAGTGAGAAATATCTCTCTCGGTTTCAGGTGCAGAAATAAAGGTTAGATAGCACACACACACACAACAAACATAAGTCACAAGTAAACAATACACATACACAATCAAGATCACATGCACACTCATTTATCATGCAATGATGTCATGGACTCGACTCATAAATGCATGCATGTGGCGCCATACGAAAGTTTCACATTTCTCATCATTTCATCACATAGCTTATTACATCACTGGTATGCGGCCTAAGCAGCACACCTGGAATAAGTAATTTCATCACATAGCTTGTTACATCACTGGTGACCCTAAGGTACACCTTGTTAGCTGGATACATCACTGGTGACCCTAAGGTACACCTTGTTAGCTTGTTACATCACTGGTGACCCTAAGGTACACCTTGTTAGCTTGTTACATCACTAGTGACCCTAAGGTACACCTAAAATGTCTCAATACATATCTGTTATGCGGCCTAAGCGGCACACCTAGAGTTATATATGTATATGATGCATGTCATACATTCACTATTTCATTAACTCAACATTTCACTTATCATGAAATTTCATTTATTACCTCATAAGGTTCACACAGGAATTCA